ATTCTCACCAAGGACTTTTAGACTTAAAAAATTCAAATATTATCCCTCATAGTGACTAAAGCTGAAAGATTAAACCTTAGAAATTAACAACAGTCATGGATGGCTTCCCACCTATGGGCAAAAAAAAAAAAAAAATTAATGGAAAAAAGAAAAGAAGGGGTCTGCAATGGGAGAAAATAAAGCCTATGTATGGGGTACAAAAAGTATCTTGAGCATCTTTTTGTATGTCTATTAGCCATCTGTATGTCCTTTTTGGCAATATGTCTATTCGAGTCCTCTGCCCATTTTTTAGTTGAATGTTTTGTGGGGTTTATTGGTATTTAGTAGTATGAGTTCTTTCTAAATTTTGGATATTAACCCCTTATCAGATGTATCATTGATGAATATCTTCTTCCATTCAATAGATTGTTTTTTTTTTCATTTTGTTCATGGTTATCTTTGCTGTGCAAAAATGTTTTAGTTTGATGTAGTCCCATTTGTTTATTTTTTGTTTGGTTTTCCTTGCCCAAGGAATATATCAGAAAAAGTATTGCTAAGAGAAATGTCAGAGATTTTACTGCTTATGTTTTCTTCTAGGAGTTTTATGGTTTTGAGTCTTACATTTAAGTCTTTTATTGATTTTGAGTTTATTCTGTGTATGATATAAGAAAGTGGTCTAGTTTCTTTTCTTTTTCTTTTTTTTTTTTTTTTGCATGTGTCTGTCCAATTTTACAGCACCACTTATTGAATAGATTGTCTTTATCCCATTGTATGTTCTTGTTTCCTTTACCATATATTAACCACAATAAGATATCACCTCACACCTGTCAAAATGGCTATCATAAATAAATCAATGAACAAGTGTTGGCAAGGATTTGGAAGAAAGAGAACCCTTATGCACTGTTGATGGGAATGCAGATTAGTACTACGGAAAACAGTATGGAGGTTACTCAAAAAATTAAATATGGAATTGCTATATGACCCAGTGATCCCATTTCTAGGAATATATCCTAAGAAACCTGGAAAACTAATCTGAAAGAATTTATCCACCCTTGTGTGTTGCAGCACTATTTACAAAGCCAAGATATGGAAGCAACCCAAATGCTCATCAGTAGAGGAGTGAATAAAGATGTTGTGGTGTATATGTGTGTATGTGTGTGTGTGTGTATATATATATATATATATATTAGCCAAAAATAATTGAAATCTTACCATTTGCAACAGCATAGATGGACCTCAAGGGTATTATGGTCAGTAAAATAAGTCAGTCAGAGAAAGATAAATACCATATGATTTCACTTATATGTGGAATCTAAAGAACAAAATAAATGAACAAACAAAATAGAAACAGACTCACAGATACAAATAACAGGCTGATGGTTGCCAGAGGGGATGGGGGTTGAGAGGCTGGATGAAAGAGGTAAAAGGATTAAGAAGTAGAAATTGGTAGTTACAAAACAGTCATGGGGTTGTAAAGTACAGCATAAAAAGATAGTAAAAAAATATTGTAATAAATATGTATGATGCTGGTGGGTAATGGAAATCAGTGGGAACAGTTTGTAAATTTTATGGTTGTTTAACCACCAAACTGTATACCTGAAACTAATACAAAATAATAATAAATTTAAGTATTTTGATAGTGTTCAAGTTCTGATTTACACTTTTTTCTGAGACTGAGCTATATTGCTATTTTTAGATTCAATGAGATATCCATAATCTTAGTAATAAAATGTTTTTTGCTCAGACTAATTTGATTTGGGATTTTGATCCAAGCACTCAGCTACATGGTAGAAGTTCAATAAATTCAGTATGTTCTAAAAACTTTAGTGTAATTTTACGGTTCAATGACTTCAAAGATATGTGTAATGATTTACAAAAATTAAAAAATGATAGTTTAATTATTTTCCACTTCCTTAAGATAGTCATGTGAATTTTGAACAATAATTTATTACTGTCTCTCTGACTCACTATGTAAAATGCTGACCAAAACAAAAATTTAACAAAGAAACCTTTTTAAATTAGTATTCAAAAAATTTTAGTAAGTGCAAAACAAATGTACATAATCAAATTTCTATGTTTGTGATACTTGTATTATTATAGTTCTGAAGTTTTAAGCTTAAAACCACACTAAGACATCTGTCACACCCATGTTTATTTTAACAGAATGTAAAGTATATAAATAAGTTGTTAAATGGGCGCATCAACTGAGGCCCTAAGCCCAAAGTATTATATATCAAAGTAAGAGGTGAGGCAGATGACTATTAACACTTGAAAACAAAATGTGCAGTCAAGGAAGAGCACTAAAACCTTTCACCAATATGAACAATATGAAAGGGTTGGGAAAGAAGATTTAGAAAGAATATTTCTTTGTAGAGAGCTATCTGGTGTCTTGAGCCCTATCCATACCCTTAAGGGAGGGACGAATACGATTAACCTTATTTCAAGCCTCAAGAGGCACTTTAAATAGAATATTCAGAAAATGTGTTATATGTTGTCTTCAATTAAAGAGAAGGAAGGCAGCGAAAATCAAGACCTTTCCTGTATACCTTATCTTTCTTCCCTCTTTTTCCAAACACATGAAGAACAGAAACCACAACTACTTGGTGGAAATGGAGGTAATAAAAGAGAAAAGCCAACCACATCTCCCAGGGGGCTCCAGCTGGGATGCTGGGGTGAGGGAGAGGAATAAAAGTCTTAACTTTGAATAGAAGTTAAAATATTGACTATAATATTTGACCAGAAATATTAATTTTCAATTTAGTGCAGTGTTTATAACTTAAATTTAAATTAATTATTCTTTAAGAGTAATCATAAAAGCCTAATTTTTATTCAGGAGCAGGAAGGAAATTAGCTCCAAATAGCAAATATAAATGAACACAAAGAATGTTAAAAAATAGGCTTTGTGACATTATTCCACAAGATATGCTTTTTCAACATACCAATTGTATAACTAATATAACCTTAGCCACCACAAAGAACTGTAGGTCATCCACAGTGACTTTGAAAGAAATATACAAAACATATTCTAACGAGACAATTGTATGAAGCTAGTTGAGAATCAGACAATTCAAGTTGAAAATTCTCTCTTTAAAGTAACCCCTTCAGTTAGTCCTTCCCACATCTTGCTTTTACATCCAAGAATTCTAAAACTAGCTGTAACTAGTACCAATAGCCTAACGTGAGAAGATAGAATAAATAATAGTATACATATCTGTTTTAATACCCTGGTTCAATGGAAAGAATATTCATGGAAACTAACCACCACCTTTAAGAATGCCCTTAGAAAATGTTAAAGCTTTCATCTGGCAAAGCTGTGCAAATTCTGACCCTACCCTTCTAACAGGGAGAATTCTAAAAAGATTAAAAGGGGAAATGACAAATAGAACCTAACTGAATTACATACCAAAAATCTGACCATTAATGAATACAAGCCATAAGTCCTTTAGTGCCATTTTTAGCAGTTTCCCTGGACATCATTTTTTTTTAATATATTTTTTAATTGATTTCAGAGAGAGTAAGGGAAAGAGAGATAGAGATAGAAACATCAATGATGAGAGTCATTGATCAATCAGCTGCCTCCTGCACACCCCTTGCTGGGAACTGAACCCACAACCTGAGTATGTGCCCTGACTGGGAATCGAACCTCAAACTCCTGGATCATAAGTCGGTGCTCAACAGCTGAGCCACGATGGCCAAGCCATCATACATTTTCTTTAATCCTCATCTGAGGATATTTTTTTCCATTGTTTTTCAGAGAGGAAAGGAGAGAGAGAGACAGAGAAACATCGATGTGAGAAAGACACATTGACTGGTTGTCTCCCGCACATGCACTGACTGGGGCCAGGGATCAAGCTTGCAACCAAGGTATGTGCCCTTGGCCAGAATCAAACCTGGGATCCTTCAGTCCGAAAGCTGACACTCTAACCACTGAGCTAAACAGGCTAGGGATGAACATCATTTTCTTTACATTTTCTTTATACTTTCCTATGATTCTTGATCACTGGATCTTATAACTAGAAAACCTGATCATGTTAAATTTCCCAAATTTTCAATGTTGAATCTAAATAAAATATTTTTAAACACTGAGTGATATGTACTTTCTGAATATGTTTAAAACATTTACTTAAAAATAATTATAACTTTACAAAGAATTATCAATAAGTGAAGAGTATATATACAAGTAACATTCTCCCCAACCCCTGGAAAGCACTTTTCTACTTTCTGTATCTATGAATTTGACTACACTATCTATCTCATATAGCTAAAATCATAAAATGTTTGTCTTTATGTGACTGGCTTATTTTACTTAACATAATGTCCTCAATGTTCATTCAGGTGGTACCATGAACTAGAATTTCCTTCCTTTTTAAGACTGAGTCATATTCCATTGTATGTATATATTTCATTTTCTTTATCCTTTTGTTCATTTTGGACACTTGGTTACTTCTACTTTTTTGCTCTTGTGATTAATGCTACAGTGAATATGTGTGTATAGATATCTCTTCAAGATACTAATTTCAACTTGGGGGGTATATACCCAGAAATGAAATTGCTAAATCATATAGTAATTCTATTTTTAATTTTTTGAGGAATTGACATACTATTTCACAATGTAACTATACAATTTTACATTCTGTGTGATTATAATTTTAAGTTTTAAAATTATGCATATCATAAATATTGATGTAAGAACACAAAATGTTTAACAGTGATGTTATTTTCTTCTTTATATTTCCAATTTTTCTAAAATAAATATTTAGCCCGGCCAGACGTGGCTCAGCAGTTAAGCGTCGACCTGGGATCCAGGCAATCGGGGTTGGATTCCCGGTCAGGGCACATGCCCGGGTTGCGGGCTCGATCAATGACTCTCTCATCATTGATGCTTCTCTCTCTCTCCCTCTCCTTTCCTTTCTCTGAAATCAATAAAGATTATAAATAATAATAAAATAAAATAATAAAATAAAATAAAATAAAATATGTATTCAGTTTTTTAATTGGGAAAAAATTATTTCAAAACTTACCTCTCTAACGTATTTGACTGTTTCTCAAATATTTTCAAGATGGCATTCAATCGATTAGGTATTGAATATGTAGTTTCTATTGTTAAAAAAAAAAAAAAAGGAAAACATTTAAAGATTTTACAAATGGCTGAAGTTATATCTCTATGCTGATATAACTCACTTCTGTATGTGTGAGAACTAGACAAGCATAAAGAAGAGTACTCATGTAAGCAGTCAACGAACAAAATGCTCAAGATAAAAATAGTTGCCACTTTATTAAATGCCTATTATGTGCAAGACACTATAATCTTCAAACCCAAAAAGAAGATACTGTCACCATTTCCAAATAAATAAATTGAGGCTCAGAGAGATTATATAACATGATTGAAACTATGCAACTATGTGACAAAACTGGACTGAAGTCCAGTGTGTGTGACCTTTTTATGATGTTATATATAAGAAGACTCTAGGATGCTAAGAGAGATCTGCTTTGGTTGCTGCAGCTAAGTCAGTAAGGTCTATGGGAAGAATCTAACAACCTTGTTAAATTTTTCAACTGAAACAAATAACCCAAAAGATTACCTAAGATGCTACTTAAAAGGGAACCAACATAATGAGTCCAAAAGGAATCCATAATAGTGAACTCTTAGGGTAGTAACACAAGACTCTTCAATCTTGTAACACAAGAATTATATGACAGAAAACAGTCCCTGCACTTAGTTTTTTGCTATATAAACAAAACATGGCAAGTGCAAAGAAAATGTTAAATAACATGAAAGCAGTTCCTTCCTATCCATGGACATGAAATATCTCTCCACTTATTTATATCTTCTTTGATTTCTTTCATCAGAATGTTGTACTTTTCCTCACACAGACCTTGTACATATTTAATTAGATTAATATATAAGTATTGAGAGTTTGGGTGTTGATGCAAATGGTGTGTGTAAAATTTCAAATTCTACTTGTTCATTGCTTATGTATAAGGAACAACTGCAATAAGAAAATTCAATATTGTTAAGGTATCAGTTTTTGCCAATTTGCTTTTTAGATTCAGTGTGATCCCAATCAAAATCCCAGCAAGTTATTTTGTGTATATCAACAATCTAAATTCTAAACTTTATATGGAAAGGCAACAGATCAAGAGAAGCCAATACAATATTAAAGAATAAAGTAGGAGAACTGACACTATCCAAGTTTAAGACTTAATATAAACCTACAGTAATTCACACAGTTTGCAAAAGAATAAACAAACAGATCAATAGAACTGAACAGAGATCCCAGAAATAAACTCACAAATGAAAAAACTGGAGAAATACCCAGGAAAAAAACCACAACCCAAATGAAATGAAGGGAAGCAAGCTACCAGATACAGAGTTCAGAAAACTGTTCCAAGAATTTTCAAAGAACATAGGGGAAGAATAAATAAACTCAGTGAGAATTTACACAAAAGAAAATAAACATAAAAAAAAAAAATAGAAACCATGAAAAGAACCTATAAGAAATGAAGAATACAATATCTGAAATGAAGAATACCTCTAGAAAAAAATCAACAGCAGGCTAAATAAAGTAGAGGATCAAATCAGTGATTTGGAAGACAAGAGAGCAAAAAACACCCAATCAGAGCAGCAAAATAAAAAAAAGAAGAAGAATTTTGAAAAACGATGATAGTCTAAGGGACCTCTGGTAAAGCATGAAGCATCACAACATCCACATCATAAAGGTACCAGAAAAAGGAGAGAGAGAGCAAGGGATCAATAACCTACTTAAAAAAGTTATGTCTGAAAAATTACCTAACCCAGTGAAGGAAAAAAACACAAATGTCCAGGAAGTGCAGAGACTCCTAAACAAGATGAACCCAAAGAAGACCACACCAAGACACATCATAATTAAAATGGCAAAGTTTAAAGACAGGGAATCTTGAAAACAAGAGAAAGACAGGTAGTGACCTACACAGAAGATCCCATAAGACTTTCAGCTGATTTCTCAACAGAAACATTTCTGGCCAGAGGTATTAACTTGAAATATCCAAAGCAAGGACCTACAACCAAGACTACTTTACCCAGCAAGGTTATCATTAAAAATTGAAGATGAAAAAAGAACTTCCCAGAAAAGAAAAAGCTAAAGGAGTTCATTACCACCAAATGAGTATTACAACAAATGTTAAAGGGTCTTCTATGAGAATAAGAAAGGGGGAAAAATGAGATAATATAGCTAAAAAAATAAAATGACAACAAATACATACTTATCAATAATTGCTTTAAATGTAGATGGATTCAATGTTCTAATCAATAGATATAGGGTAGCTCAAAAGATAAGAAAACAAGACCCAAATACATGCTCTCTACAAGAGACCCACCTTAGAACAAAAGATACAGACAGGCTGAAAGTAAAGGGATGGGAAAAGATATTTAATGTAAATGAAAACCAAAAAGGCAAGGGTAGCACACTTATATCAGACAAAATAGACTTTAAAACAAAGGCTATAACAAGAAACAAATAAGGACATTACATAACGGTAAAGGGATTAATTCAACAAGATACAACCATTGTAAACATTATGCACCCAACATAGAAGCACCTAAATATATAATGCAAATCTTGATGGACATAAAGAGAGATATCAACAGTAATACAGTCATAGTAAAAGATTTTAACCCCATTGACATCAATAGATAGATCTTCCAGACAAAAAATCAACAAGGGAACAGCAGCTTTAAACGACACACTAGACTACATGGATTTAATTGATATTTTCAGAGCATTTCACCCCAAAGCAGCACAATATACAATCTTTCTAGTTCACAAGAAATATCTTCTAGGATAGAACACATATCAGAATTTAAAACAAGTCTCAATAAATTGAAGAATATTGAAATATATCAATCATCTTCTCTAACCACAATGATATAAATCTAGAAGTCAATTACAGGGGGGAAAAAACTTGAAAAACACACACACATGGAAGCTAAATAACATGTTACTAAACAGTAAATGTGTTAACAATGAGATCAAGGAAGAAATCAAAAGTTATCTTGAGACAAATGAAAACACAACCTAAAATCTGTGGGACACAGCGAAAGCACTCCTAAGACGGAAATTCATAGCATTACAGGCCTACCTCAAGTAATAAAGAAATCTCAGATAGAGACATCAGAAGATGGCAGTGGAGGAGGTGGAAGCTGCACTCACCTTCTCCCACTCCCAAATTGGAATTACAACTAAACTGTAGAAAAAATGGCATGAATCAAACTGTAAATGACCTGAACTGAAGTCTTACAGCCAGGGATTTATAGAAGCCCCATAGAGACTGGTAGAAAAGGTGGACACGCAGTGATGGCTGGCCTTACACCCACATGCAGCAACTGAGAATCTGGGGAGATATCTCAGCTGCAAAGGTCCCCCCTGAGGAAAGTGGGATCTAAACCCCACACCAGGCTCTCTAGCAGAGAGACAGCAGCTGAGCAGAGAGGAGGTGCCCATATAATATCTGGAAGTGAAGTTCAGCAGGGATTCTGTCCACCAAGGAGAGAAGAGAGACTGCTAGAAACCCAGGTGCCCTCTTGCAGAAAGCCATTTTTTCTATGCACTCTAGGCAAAGTCCTTCCTTCATATGGCCAAATGCAAGGTTATTTGGGCCTGATAAACACAGCTGGCCTCACTCCGATGAATCCCTGAGACCCAGCCCTATGCACATGGCATGTGGTGGCTGACCATGGCGTACCCTGAGACTGTTGTTGAGTGGCCTCAAACACATCACTGGCACCAAGTTTGAATCTGTACCTATCTGGTGATCAGCACTCAACACTAGCTGGTGATTCACTAAGAGCCTCTCTCAAGCAACTCACATACTGTCAGAGGCTCTTTCAGTAACTGAGCCTAACAGCTAACAAGTGAAGGAAGATCTCAAAAAGCCTTGGGCCTTTTCCTGAACTGCCCCTAGGCTCAGGGCTGATGGAAACTGACCTCTGCACAGCTGGGACACTCCCACACACACCCGAGCAAAACAGAGACAGCCACAAATACAGATCACTTTGTAGCTCCAAAAAGGTAGCCCAGGGCCTGTCATTGGTAACATCTGACATCGACTGGCACTGGACCTCTTCCCAAGAAGCCCCAGAACCAACACACTAGTGGTTCAAACCACATCAGAACACAATCCAATTCACTCCACAAGCAGCACACAAAGGGAGATCTCGATAAACAGCAGATCCTGTTGGGAAGAATTCAGTTTTGTGGAGCCAGCCCTGCACAGCAGCTCATACATTGGACTTGGAGTTGATCCTCACAGCCAGTGGAGTACAGACCAACAGGAATCAAGACTCAACTACAACAGGAGGGTTCACAAAACTCACACAGGGGGCATTACTGGAGTACCTAGCTCATGCAATTAGGGAGACTGCACCTCTAAACCTCACAAGACACATACTACATAAGGGCACCAAACCAAAACATAGCAGAACCACCTAAAAGACAAAAACAAATACAGATAGGCCGAAAAAGTAACATGCCCCAAAAGAAGAAGGAAAAACCCAGGAGGAATCCCCAGAAAAAGAACTAAATGAAATGGAGATAAGCAAGCTACCAGATACAGAGTTCAAAACATTGATTATAAGGATGCTCAAGAAAGTGAGAACTTAACAGCATGAAAAAGGGCATAGAATCCATGAAAGAAAGAAAAAACAGTAAGAAATGAAGACTACACTAGAAGGAATCAACAGTAGGCTACATTAAAAAGAGGACCAAATCAGAAGTTTGAAAGACAAGGTAGCAGAAAACACCCAATCAAAGCAACAAAAGGAGCAACAAAAGGAAAAAAGAGTTTTTAAATATGAGGATAGTCTAAGGAACCACTGAGAGAATACGCATTATAGGGGTAACAGAGAGAAAAGACAAAGGCCAAGGAATTGAGAGCTTATTTGAAAAAAATAATGGCTGAAGACATCCCTAACCTGCTGAAGGAAAGAGACACACAGGTCCAGGAAACACAGAGAGGCCTAAATAAGATGAACTCAAAAAGGTCCGCACAAAGACTTATCATAATTAAAATGGCAAAGGTTAAAGACAAAGAGAGCCCCAGCCGTGAGCTCACTTGGTTGG